GCCGCCCCTAGCTTTCCTCCAACCTACACCGTAAATCATAGCACGTCGAGGTAGTCGGTCGTTGGGCATACGTAACACGTGTCCCAGCCATCTCAACTGATCAAGTTTCACTGCCTCATCAATTGATTTGCCATCCTTACCTAGTACCCGTTTCCTAACAACCGCGTTACTTACTCGATGGTCCAGGATATACGAGCAATGTTTCGAAGACACCTATGATCAAATACTAGTAACCTACGAATATCCTCTACTCTTACCGGCCATGTTTCACTGCTATAAAGTAGGACGGGACGACCTGCTGCACAGCAAACACGTCCTTTGGTTGATAGACGGATATCTCGCCTACGCCATAAATGACGCAAGTTGGCAAAAGCTAGTCGAGCCTTCTGTATCCGTGCTGAGATTTCGTCACACACCAGACCACAAGGGCTGATGAGACTTCCAAGATAAGTGAAGCGGTCGACACACTCAACTACTTCACTCCCTATCACTAGTTCGGGTGTCGATGTAACCCAATCCTGAAGCAACATTTTGCATTTCGAGGGAGAGAATCGCATCCCGAACATGCTTGCATTGTAGCTTAGAGTGGTCAGAAGACTCTGCATTTTGTCAGCGTCTTCACTAAATAAAACTATGTCATCAGCATATTCTAAGTCAACAAGTGAACCTCCCGGTAGAAGTTCAACCCCTGGAAATTTAGATGAGGAGAGTGTTATCTCTAAAAGTACGTCGACCACAAAGTTGAACAAGAATGGAGAGAGTGGACAGCCCTGACGAACACCACTTGAGGTAATCAATTCTGATGACAGTTCGCCATAAGCTCTCACTCTACCAGTTGTGTTCGAGTAGAGCCTTTATAAGGTTAATGTACTTCATTAGTACTCCTTTCAGTGACAAACAGTGCCATAGAACCTTACAATCAACAGTCAAAGCCGAATAGTTTGTGTGTATCGGGAAAAAGCACTTTTACTTGTGAATGGGTGTTGCAATGCACAGATAATGTGCCGTGACGTCAATCAGTTTTGTTTAGGGGGCTTATCGGTCGTATGTATTGTAAACATCTAAATCAAAGATCATTTACAATAAGTAAATTCAAACGTTTAATGCCTTAAAACTCAATATTAGTTGACATTTCACCAATTACGTTCGCTGCTCAAGGAAAACCATATTCGACGAAATCATATACAACCTTAAATATTTAACTAATTTGCGATTTGATAGCCAATAATAAGCAATTCTGATTTCCCGGATGCCTATCTAGACTCCAAGGCACCTTTTCATTTTCCAAGACCACCAAGAGCTCAAATGCTATAAATTTATAGTTGCATTTATTCTCTATTGTAATTTAAATTTAGAGTTAGGTGTCATTTGATCTCATTCTTCCTCGAATGTAGTCTTATTTTGTTAATTTCCTCTCTTTGTACGCTTATCTAACGTGTCCTTACCTAGAACGATAACTCAACTACGTACATTCCCACTTTAACGTTTACTGGATCATTCGTATCTCATTACATCCATTGCCTCAAATCTAGTACTTACTTCCACAGACAATAGTCGTTAGACTACAAACATATATTCAGTGGAATTTCTACCATTGTTATTTCCTCACAGCTGAAATGATCATATATCACACATGTACATGTCTCAGCATAATCCATAAAAAAGACACATATCTAAAAGACTAATATTTGAACAAAGAATATTCTTTTTGATAAATTCTCTTCAGGTTCTACAATTATATATCCAAATTAATAATCCGAAAAATGGCCAGCTTAAGAGTAAAGTACATCGTTTAGAGCATGTGAATTTAGGATTGTGATAAACAAAATACAATAAAATTGTTAATGTTAATATGACTCATATAGAATGTTAACTTGAATCTGCGTATATGTTAAATGAAATTTTAAGATCCATGATCAGAATAAATATGGGTCAAATAGGGTGACACAGAAATAATAGTGCAATTACAATTCGATCAAATAAGTAAGACGTAATACGAAGGGATGAATGCGAAGTGAATGAATCATGTATAGGAGACATTAATAATGATGTTTAACCAATAATACGAATAATAATAATAATAATAATAAGATAATAATACGAATAATACAAAGATTTATGAATAAAGATAACAGGGACAATTACAATTGACTACGAAAGGTCATAGTCAAATTGGGTCATTCAATAGTTAAGATTACGATTGATTAATTGGCCTTGATGTTGGCCAGGGGAGGGGAGTGGCTGAATATATTTCTTCTGTACGCATAGCTCCGGTTTCTTCATTCGGATGGCTACTGCTTCAGCCGTTTGAAGGACTTTCAGTCTGACCAGTTTTGGCAAAAAATTACTGACCTTATAAATAATTGAAAAAGATTGGTTTATACTGGCACTATGACCGGTTTGTACTAAATGGGCCAATATTGAGCTGTTCACCTTCTTCATCAAACCTTTGTTTAACCACGCCGGAAGGTGTTCACGAGCACGAAAATGTAAATTCCTAGAACTTCGACCAATATAACTCGCTCCACAGGAGCAGTTGAACTGATAAATACAAAATGAGGTGGTCATTCTAGGTAATTCATCTTTTAGCTTCGGTGTAACCATTGGGCGCGTAGAAAATACTAATCGCAGTTCTCCGGCGTTAAAAGACTTTTGTATTGTCCTACGTAGTCTCTGAGTTAGTATTTCGCTAGCCGCATCCCCTCTGAATTGTAGACGCATGAACAAGGATTTCTTCTTCACTGTTTGTATTTCGCCTTCGTGACCATATATTTAATTATAAACTTTCTAGGGTAGCCGTTCTCCCTGAGAGTATTATGCAAGGTGGTAAGCTCTTGTTCGACTATATCAGCAGAACATATAGTGCGAATACGGTAGCTAAGGTTTTTGATCAAATTTCGTTTGTACTGTAGAGGTACAAAGCTCAGGAAATTCGTATACTGCCCAGTCCAAGTACTTTTTCTGTTTATATTCCTTTTTAACGATCCATCCGCTCTCTTAGTCAAGAGAACGTCCAAAAAGGCTATTCGGCCATCACTCTCTTCTTCAGATGTAAACTGAATGGCTGGATGCACTTCATTAAATCGTCTAAGAACCTCTTGGGGCGACGTATTATCTTTACAGAGGATGAACGTGTCATCCACGTATCTACAGTAAAATGTGAAGTTGTCAATAATCTTTTTTAGTGGACCATTTTCTAGTTTGGCTAGAAAAATATCAGCTAGTATAGGGCCCAGTGGTGAACCCATTGCAACACCATCAGTTTGTCTATATATTTCCCCGTTGAACTTGAAATTTACATTCATGGTGCATTTGAGTAATAACTCTTTCACGACGCTAATAGGGACAGTAGTTTCAATTTCATTTTCTATCAGCTGTTCACCTATATATTCTACAGTCTCTATGAGTGGGACGTTTGTGAATAACGATGTTACATCCAATGACATCATCTTCAGTCCCAACGTATTTGCGTTTTTGATTTTATCAACAAATTGGAAAACATCCTTAACACTATATTTTACAAGCTTTTCGTGTAGAGGTTTCAATACAGTTACCAGCCATTTAGCTATAGTATGGTAAGGAGAGTTATACATATCTAAAATAGGTCTTAATGGGACCCCCGTTTTGTGCACCTTTGGCAATCCATACAATCTCGGCAGATGGGTTCCCACTGGTTTAATCATTTCATATAAACCCGATGGGATAGCCTGTTGGTCCCTGAGCTTCTTCAAAGATCTGGTAAGCTCATTCTCTATCTTATTATTCAAATCTTTCTGGTCAGTTGTTTTTTGAAACTTTGATTTGTCATTTAAGATTGTACACATTTTTTCAATATAATCACTTTTATTAAGCAGAACGACACCTGAACCTTTGTCAGGTTTTGTAATCAGTAACGTCTCATTCTTAAGAAGTAGGTTAATAGCTTCCTTGTGCTTTTGTAACTAAATTTATTGTTCTTATATTGGTAACAGCAGTCTACAAGAGTTGATTTAAAATGTTCTAATTGCAGATCAGAATTCACAACTAAATCACGTGTCTGACTATAAAGATTCTCGAACTGTATATCTGTATCGATGTGGTTACAGTTATTACGAGTATCACAAAATTTTAGACCTAAGGATAATACCTCTAGTTTTTCTTTATCTAGTTCGACACTTGATAAATTATGTACATACCTTTTACAGTCTGTTGGAAATTTGCTTTCGACCGTTTGATTTTCCAGACCTTTCAGTAGCTGGATGAGTTTCTTCCCTGATCTCTGATCCATAAGGTTTTTAACATAGTCCATAAAAGGTATTTTCAAATCATCAGTTAGGTCATCTACTGCATACTTTCTGCGACAAACCTTCATCTGCATATCACTTATGTCTGAATGCAAGACGTCAATCTGGTTTAGGGCGTAGGACAATACAAAAGTCTTTTAACGCCGGAGAACAACGATAGTATTTTCTACGCGCCCAATGGTTACATCGAAGCTAAAAGATGAATTACCTAGAATGACCACCTCATTTTGTATTTATCAGTTCGACTGCTCCTGTGGAGCGAGTTATATTGGTCAAAGTTCTAGGAATTTACATTTTCGTGCTCGTGAACACCTTCCAGCGTGGTTAAACAACGGTTTGATGAAGAACGTGAACAGCTCAATATTGGCCCATTTAGTACAAACCGGTCATAGTGCCAGTATAAACCAACCTTCTTCAATTATTTATAAGGTAAGTAATTTTTTGCCAAAACTGGTCAGACTGAAAGTCCTTCAAACGGCTGAAGCAGTAGCCATCCGAATGAAGAAACCGGAGCTATGCGTACAGAAGAAATATATTCAACCACTCCCCTGGTCAACATTAAGGTCAATTAATCAATCGTAATCTTAACTATTGAATGACCTGATTTGACTATCACCTTTCGTAGTCGATTTTAATTGTCCCTGTTATCTTTATTCATAAATCTTTGTATTATTCGTATTATTACTCTTATTATTATTATTATTATTATTCGTATTATTGGTTAAACATCATTATTAATGTCTCCTATACATGATTCATTCACTTCGCATTCATCCCTTCGTATTACGTCTTACTTATTTGATCGAATTGTAATTGCACTATTATTTCTGTGTCACCCTATTTGACCCATATTTATTCTGATCATGGATCTTAAAATTTCACTTAACATATACGCAGATTCAAGTTAACATTCTATATGAGTCATATTAACATTAACAATTTTATTGTATTTTGTTTATCACAATCCTAAATTCACATGCTCTAAACGATGTACTTTACTCTTAAGCTGGCCATTTTTCGGATTATTAATTTGGATATATAATTGTAGAACCTGAAGAGAATTTATCAAAAAGAATATTCTTTGTTCAAATATTAGTCTTTTAATATGACGGGGATCTTGAAACGATTAAAATGTTGCATACATATCTCCAAATTTGTATTAACTAAGTTGCCGACGTCGAGCTTTTTGCTTGTCAAAACGTGCTCCCATCTCTTCAAGAATACGTGGTGTATATCTTACTACAAGTTTCACAGTACCTATAATGGAAAGAAAATTATTATTACAATTTGTTTGATATGATTTAAACTGGAAAAACAATGTATAACAAGTAATTATGAATATACGTAAACTACGCATAATGTGGATTAGAACAAGCATATATAGACGAGTATTCTAGCATTGTGAGTACGTGATAATAAGAATATTAACATGAAACTCTGTAATAATGAAATATCACATGTATTGATAGAGAAAAAAACATCTTAAAATCTACGGTACATCACCTTGTGCTAATTTCAAAAGTTCAACAGCTCTTTCATGATGTTCACTCTCCACAGAAATCCCATTTACTGATAGTAATTGATAACCACGATTTAAACCACCATGACGATCTGCAACACCACCAGGAATAATTCGACTTACGTAAATAGGTGAATTTTGTTCTTTACCACCCATAAAATTGAAACCTAGACCTTCATTAGTTTTTGGTAGTTCTATGACACGTGGATGAGCGTGTCCTTCACTTGCAGCAAAAGCTGCGACAGTAGCTTTGGCTGTTGCACTTGCTTTCACCTAATAAGAGTTTAAATAAAATGAAGAATAAAAGTCGGTCAGTTACCACTTAGAACCTAGTATGTATGTAAATCGGTTCACATTGTCATATCTCATTAACACACCAGATGAAATTGTAAGGTCTTATCACAGAATAGTAGATGTATTAATAGTATCACCGATAATACGAAAGATTAGGCATCGAAGATATCATTCAAGAGAATACAAATTAATGTAATAAAGAACTATGAGGAATTCAGATAATAACTTGGGCAGATAGAAAATAGATGCGCCTGCGCTACTACAAACCCTGTCATCCAAAGTCTTTAACCACTGATTACGATAATCAGGCGGACATCACCTAGGTAGTTTACACCGACTAATACGGCTGTCTGGTTGCCAATGACTATACGGAACGATACCACGTCTTGGCTGGACCCCTTACGTCTATTTATTCAAGCACATAAACGTTGGTACAAGAAGACACCGAATATATATGCGCCACAAATCACTTGATTGGTGTGAGGACTGGGACACTACCTGGCAGACCAAACAGGAGCGGGTGGTCTTCTTAGGAGACCACCTTTGACGTAAAGGTCTGATCCATAAGGCAGTGGAGCAACGTAGGGATGTTCAACTGGTAGCCGGTGACCAACGCCATTTGTTTTCTCAGGATTCTAGAGTCTATGTGCACCATTGGTTTGGAATCAGGGTTTTCCAACATCCCTGAGTGGACCCTCCGTATCCACCAACCCAGTTAAGTCGTCGGACATTCGCTCTTCGCCCTCAGTATGGAGCGGGTATGCCGGAACGAGTCCAAAGACGAGGGAATAAAATGTAAAAGGTCTCTCTTATGAAGACAAACTAACACAACTCAATTTATTTCCGTGATCTTGCTGCAGAATACGGAGTAATATAATATTGGCTTATCCCATAATGAACGATGACCCTGACATTAATGTCTTATCTTTTCCTCCCGTCTAGGACTGATCATTTGAAAGGACATTCGAAGAAAGTTTAAAAACCGAGATCACGTCGTCTTACGTCTGGAGTTTCGTTTCTCGCACCGAGTAGTGAATTACTGGAATTCTCTAGCGGAACACGTAATATCAGCACCTCCTGCTGATGTATTCAAAACCAGATTGGACCTCTACAGTGTTACAAACTGCAAGGATTAATGTAGGTGGTATACCTCTCACCCTTATCACTGAAGACTGAATAAATTCATAGAAGCAGTTACTTCAATGGTAGTAATATGTAAAAGATTGCATACAATTGAATGATATAAGGAGAAGGAACTAGTCCGTAGAAAAGTATAAAGTAATCTTAATCTCATGTTTTAAGGGTACAGTGAGTGTATATACCTAAGCCATTGTGGTGGGTTTTGAGCTTGTGGTGGACCAAAAAGTATAATCACCAAAAATTAGCGATAAAGTTATTACGTCCAAAAGTTAATGTAACAATAACAATTTATAAATTAGTAACACAAATTAAAAGTTCAGGGACGTTACTTAAATCAGCTAGTTGTTGCGTATTCCGTTGAGTTTTGGTCCCAAAAATCCGCAATTATAAATGAGTAATAATTCCAATGAGGTAAATATGACTCCAGTAAGTTTCTTTGACGTAGGGTGTGATAGAAATGGCACAGCAGTCTAAAATGTGAATAATACTTGATTTAGAATGCGATTAGCTCGATAACGCGTGAGAATAGAACAAGGAGCGTGTGTGTGTAATAGTGCATTTGCGAACAACCAAAAGTGTGTCACGCTATGTTAGTATCACAACGGAAAAAGTCTTCAAGGTCATTTACTTAAATAACAGGTACAATCATTTAATGATAAATGTACATGCAGTGAGAAATTGACAAAACAAATACAAATAATATTGAAAACTATTTACAAAATAAGCTTGTCAGACCTATCTCCACATAGCTCCCCCCAGAGTGTCCGGAGGTAACACTGGTTATAATAACAAAAAAAGTAAGAATATGATATATACATGTATACAAAAATAATATTTACAGTTATAGCTAACAAAAATGTGGAGATGAGTGTGACATGTAGCAGAGATGTGGCATAGCATAATAAACACACAAAAAAAATGAAGACACTGTCATTTAATCTCTTTGTTGGCTAACAATGATAATAATAATGTGCAAAACTGCTAATGATCCAAACACACAAAAAAATTGAACTGTTGATTTTTGTGTATAATGAATAAATAATTGAATAGAGTTTACCCGTTTATTATTGTAACAAATTTTTTTTGAAAAAAATGTGACAAAACGAATAATTGTGGAAAAATGTGATCAATTATGTACACTGTGAAAAATTTTTTTAGATCAGATTGATAGTGTAGGTCCTCGATAATTGTTTGCTTTGATTGTTTTAGTTTTTTTATACGGCAAAATGTACGTAACGCTTTGGTTTTTTTATAAGTCTCCCAGAACGTGTTAAACAAGAGGGTGTAGTGCTAAGTTTTTCCTCTTCCTCTTGTTTCTTAGCAATAGATGGGAGTGATTGTTTGTTCGCAGTATTGTCTTCTGTGTCTTGAGGGACTTCGTAGAAAGCTGGTTTTATTCGGTCTATAGAAATTGTCTCATGGTTCCCATTTTTGTTGATAATGAAATATTTGTGAGTGCGTTTTATTACTTTATAAGGGCCTTCATATGGTGGTGTCAGTGGCTTTTTTACCGCGTCTACTCGAACAAAAACAAATTTGCACGTTTCTAAATGTTTATCGAGATGGACTCGGTTGTTGTATTCTCGAGGTGGTATTGCTCTGATGTTCTGCATCATTTGTAGTAATCTGCTTACAAAACGAGAAGGGTCTCCTGGCGTTGTGGGTTCATTCTTGACCAGTTGTCCTGGTAACGTTAATGTCGTGCCATAGACTAGTTCAGCGGCCGTGCATCCGATGTCTTCCTTTACAGACGAGCGAATCCCAAGGAGAACGAGCGGTAAAGCATCGCTCCATTTTGAAGGGTCCGGTTGTGCCATCAGAGAGCTTTTTAGTTGGCGATGGAATCTTTCAACCATGCCATTAGCTGCCGGATGATAAGCTGTCGTTTTAACATGATTTACTCCAAGAAGTTTAGTGAACTCGTTAAATAGGACGGATTGGAATTGGGGACCGCGATCTGTTGTGATTGTTGATGGTACGCCAAAGTTGGATATCCAGCGGTCGAGGAAAACTGAAGCCACTGTCTCTGCCGATGTGTCTTTAATGGGGCATGCTATGGCCCATCTTGTGAACCTATCTATTGCGGTGAGGATATGTGTGAAAGAGTTTGATGGTGGCAGAGGCCCAACTAAATCTAAATGCACGTGCTGGAAGCGTTTGTCAGGGATAGGGAACTTCCCAATTGGACTGTAGGTGTGTTTTTGCGTCTTACTGCGTTGGCACTGGAGACAGCTACGTGTCCAACGTTTAACATCCGAGTTGATTTTAGGCCACACAAAACGTTCGGTAATGAGCTTTGTTGTTGCTCTGATGCCTGGATGTGAAAGACCATGCAAATGCTGAAATATTTTTCGTCGGCAAGCGTGTGGGACAAACGGACGATTGTTGCCTGTTGAAGTGTCGCACATGATGAATGCATCTGAAAGAGGAATTGGTACAGGTTTGAGATCTAAGCTAGACTTTTCTTTGCAGACTTTTAATTCTGCATCGTCTGCTTGTAATTTAGCCAAGGTTTCAAGGCTGATGTCATGATTGAGTACCATCGTATTGATATCCCTCCTAGATAGTGCATCTGCAACAATGTTCGTGTGACCTTTGATAAACCTGATGTCTGTGGTAAATTGGGAGATATAATCAAGTTGTCTTGCTTCTCGTGGGGAGTGTTTGTCATACGATGTGCTAAAAGAATGGCAAAGGGGTTTGTGATCTGTCATAATGATGAAATCACGACCCTGTAGCAAAAAGTTGAAATGTTTTACTGCTAAATACATAGCTAAGAGTTCGCGTCCAAAAGTACTATAACGTTCTTGTGCTGGCGATAATCTCTTGGAGAAAAAGGCAATGGGGGTAATCGTGTTGTTTACCCGCTGTTGTAATACTGCCCCGACGGCTTTTTGTGAAGCATCCGTGCATAGGATCAACAGTGTTGTGGGGTCAGTATTTAGGTGTTGGAGCATGGTAGCATTAGCAATCATGGATTTAGCTTTTTCAAATGCTACTTTGGCATCGGAAGGTAACTTGAATATTTGGTTCTTTTCTTTCTTGGTACCTGATTTATCGTTTTTCAGTAAATCTGTCAATGGCTGTAGTACATCGGCACAATTTGGTAGAAATCGTCGATAAAAATTACATGTTCCAAGAAAACGACGTAGTGATTTTACTGAGGTTGGTTCTGGATAGCTGGAGATGGCTTTGACTTTCTCTTCAAGCGGTTTAATTCCTTGGGAATCAATGTGGTGTCCCAGGAATTCCAGAGATGAGGCGCCAAATATACACTTCGAAGGGTTGATTACAACACCATAACTTTTGAAACGTTCAAAAAGCGTGTGTAGTGCTGAACATGTTCTTCAGTGGAAGAACTAGCGATTAAAACATCGTCGATATAGACAAATACGAAATCCAAACCTCTAGTTACTTCGTCCATAAATCTCTGGAAGGTTTGAGCGGCGTTTTTTAGTCCGAAAGGCATCCTCAAGAATTCAAACAAGCCAAAAGGTGTGATTACGGCTGTTTTCTCGATATCCTCAGGTGCCATCGGTATTTGATGGTATGCTCGGACTAGATCTAACTTTGAAAAAATCTGTTTTCCATGTAGATTTAAAGAAAAATCATGCAGGTGAGGGATCGGATACCGGTCTGGGATAGTCTGGTTATTCAATCGGCGATAATCTCCACATGGGCGCCAGTCTTGATCTTTCTTGGGAACCATATGCAGCGGCGAG